TATGACGAAAAATGGAAGATGAAAAATGGTGCGATGAGAAAATATCGCCTTTTCACTCCTTCACTCGGTGATCAGCCAATTGTGTGTGGGTCCTAGAACGAATAATAGCAATCTGTATTGCCTCGACACTCGTCAGCAGTGACATCGATCGAGAGGCGGGAAAGCCACTTACGACAGCAACAGGCCGTTCCACTATGCCCTAACCGTCGAGACTGTGAGGGCGAGAGAGTGCCTTCTACCACCCGTTTGGGCCACTGAGTATTCCTAAGAAAGGAACTCAGTAACCATTTTTACCGTGAACCATGCCTTTGAGAAGAATCACAGAATCATGGGAACGTAAAACCTTGGGGATACTCCATCTAATGAAGAATCACCCACGTTACCCTCATTCTTCATTAATGAAAAGATTTCGGAATAGACGAACCGCGCTCATTACGGCAAAAACTAAAATGCTTTGTGGCACTGAATGACCATTTAGTTCGTGATTTTCAGTGTAGTCAATATCACATACTATCAAAAGATAAGGAACTGATTGTATAATTTGAACCTGCTTGAGCATGCTTTCCGTGGTTTCCTTGCGTAAATTCTATGATCGGTCTTGGAAATAGATAGTTACCGGATTTCCGGTGAACACGGACAAAACAAAAAGCAAGAATTTTCGTGCCCTGACTATTCAAAGTGCTCAGTGAGCAGTCTCCCTCCTGGCTCTTTAGCTGTCACTTTCATTACCTGCGAATCGCATCACTCAATTCGATGACGTTTAAGGCTAATCTGTTAGCCCTGCTGGGCAATAACTGTTTTTCTCCGAACGATTCCGTTGTTTCCTTTTAATAGTTCTGAATAATTATATATTGAATAGGAATTACTGAAAGAGTCTGAAGGACAGAGGGTGGACTACGGACTAAAACTTAAAGGGTGCTGGTAAAGCGATATCCCGGGTCTCGCGGATATAGCTTCACTGGACCAAGCCTGGACGGCGAAAGGTTGACAAGCGAACATGGCAGTGGACCACCATCCACCATGTCAGAGGTAAAAGAGTCAGCGAAGAAAGAAGCAAACAAGATCGTTACTTCTGCAGCAGCTCACTTTGCTTACCCCAACGAGTAACCTTATTGTTAGGTTCGCATGGCGAGTTTACCTTTAGCGACTCACGAAGACTCGCTATCGCTAGACCCAAAATCGAAAATTTTTTCCGGCTTAGAGCCACAGTTCACAATATAAACGGGTGCTGGGATATTCCGTAGTGTGTGTTTGAGGTCCCTAATAATGCCACACCTGCCGCTATAAAGTCGAAAAACGTCTTGTATAGTGCATAATAAGGGGCTAGAAAATGCATCGTGTGAAGGCCACACCTATAGTGGACGGGTTTCGAAGGCCATCTCTTTCGGGGTACTCCAAGGTTCTGCGCTATCCCCACTACTTGTGGTCGTCTTAAATGCGATTACAAAAGTCTTCAGCCGAAGTTCCATGGACGCTTTTTCATACTGACGACGTGATGCTCTTCAGCGCAGATAAAACCACGCTCAAGCAACAAATTCAAACCTGTTCTCACCGTCTGGCTATGTTCGGGCTAAGGTTGAACTTCGAAAAGACTGAGTATTTGATCACCGACCTGAGCGAGCCAGGGGTTATCAAGATCAGTGGTACTAAGCTCACACAGATAAATAATCGGCAATGTGTCTGACGACAGCCTGATTGCAAAATTCGCAGCGTGGCTGCGTGGTTATAGGGCGCTCGATGACTGACGTTCCGTGCGATGAGGGTTTCGAAGATTCAATATCTACAGAACCGTCATATAGTCGATTGTGATTCACGGCGCTGGCTGCTGGCATGCGATCAAAGAAGTTGATGCCCGTCTTAGTGTGATGGAGTTCAAGATGCTGCGCTGAACAGCTGGAGTAATACTATTAGACGGCATTAGCAATGACGTCATCAGGGAGCGATTCAGTGTAGCGCCGATTCTCGATAGAATGCCCGTCTCCAATGGTTGGGTCATGTTCTTCGCCAGAATGATAAGTGTCCGCAGGATCGACCTCAGCCTTGACGTACCCGAAAAGCGGCCTAGAGTAGACTCGAGGCAGCGATGGCTCGATACGTTGCACGGTCGCACGGCAAGACTAAAAAACTTTTACGATCCAACCCAATCGTTTGATCGAGAGAAGTGGTTAGAAGTATGAGAAAAGCAGACACCGCCTTTGAGGACAGACGCTAAAAAACAAAAAAGTGAGGTGATGGTGCAGTTGGCTTCGGAAACATCCATCTATCCAGTGTATTTGTCAAGCTCGTGTGTTGATGCATCACAAGGTCTCGCACCTCAGCTTTTGTAATTGCATCTGTTTTTGTGTATAGTGCAACCGAATTCTCCTACTATTTCAATGACTTTGCAGTGAGTTACGCATTTGTAAACCAAACTTTGTTAACTACGTGATAAATTTCGTATTTCGTTTGATTCCATAGATTTCGCAGTGTGTTCGCGCGTCTGTGAGACCGCACCCGTTCTGCGTTTGTTGTTGGACGTGTAGCGATTGAATGTAAAAAAGTGACGACGTTCACAAGGTGAGAGAAGTGTGAAATCCATGTCAACTGGCGAAGAACCATCTTTGACAACCATCCAGGACAGAATACACCAATAATCACCGTCATCCTACTTATATAATCGGCCAAGTGTGTCTGTTGGTGTGTTTGTGTGTGTGTGTTTGTCTAACCGGAAATTCAAAACTCCTGTCCCTCTGGACCTGGCATTCCAATTTCGAAGAGAGATAGACATCAGGATAGAACCACTGATGGTAGGTGATTGGGAGTGACAACAATATATAGAAAGTTGTAAAGAGCCTTAAATGGTAAAATACACACTATAACAATGGTATTGATAGTGGAGCCGTGACAGTTTGGCATGTGATGTGGGGTATGGCGGGATTGTAGACGACCGATGATGGGGACTCATAGTAGCTGATAACGACTGATAAGAGCACTTACCAACTGAATTTAACTCCTGTGGTATTTACGGTGTAATATGATTACGACCTAAAACCGCCAATAATCTGAGATTCTCAACTAATGATGTACCCGTAGAGGAATGAAGGTCTAGTGATAACACACACGATAATGGTGTTATTATCACTTGAGAACATTTGTTAGTACTACTCAATTCTGTGGTTGCCTATCAGTTAAACCTTTAACGGTTCATAATTTTTAAGCTGAAGAGTAACCGATTGACACTTTTAATCGTAGGCGTAAGCATCGGCACACACTAAATACCACTGGCGCTGCCCTGCTTATGCCAGCTCCCCCCTTTTTGGGTCCTTTGAGAAGTTGCGTAGAGTGTGTCGGATTTTGTGTTCAGAAAAGCATCATACGTTTCGAAGAGTGTGAATGTCACGTGAGCGCGGTGAGGAAACAGTTATGAAATGGGAATGCAACAGATACTGTTCATATTGGTCCTTTAACAAGTCAAAGGTAAGCGGTAGTGGGCATGTGGTGCACGTATTAGCGTGCGTAGCCCAACTGGTTATTTATAAGCATCAAGTGAACGACCGTCGACTACTTCATCAAGATTTTCAACAAAGACCGTCGTGTTCTAGCTTTGTGCCGTGGTGGAAGTAGAGATAACAAAAGACTCATAAACAAGTAATCAAAAGCTGGGTAGATGACGACTGCGGTATCACTATCTGAAAATCCAGGTCTATTTCTACTTGCGATGTCGACGTGTCCAAGTCGTCAATAACCAGTTCGCTGATGGCATTTCCTTCTACTATCTAGCGTGTTCAACTCCAACCAGCCTGGCGCAACGATACAAAAACTATCGAGAGGAGATTTAACCATTCATGAAACTCATTACTCAGGGGAACTTAAAACGCAGCTTTTCTATACCAGTGAATTTGCGTACAGCGTTTTAGCGCATGCACCATGAAGAATCCGATGGCCACGAGGAACGCCAGGAGGGTGTGGCAGCGCATGAGCTATCTTCATCTGCTGTGCTATGAAGTCAGCAAAGCATCCGCTATGTCCCGAGAGCAGGCGTTCTCACCGCGGAACGCTTTTGCCAATAAAATTGTGAGCTTTTTTTATGAACAAGGTATCGAAAAAAAAGAGGTGATGAATCATTCCAAATCCCGCAAAGTTCAGAGAGGCATTGTAGCAGTTGGAGCGAATGAATCGCGTGTTGTTTTTGCTATAGGTGCTACGCAACTGTAAAAAAACGAATCACGGTAGCAAAAATGATATAAGCCGGGCAAACATCATAACTAACGGTGATTGCGGTGCATTCTTCAGGTGAGTGATGAGCCGTGCGCTGTTCGCGTTAAGCACGCGTTGCTTGAGTCGAGGGGGGACCGTTGATTGGTAATACTAGCAAATCTAGCAAGAAAAACTACGAAATATGAGGGAAAGATAACAAAATCGGCACAAACTTGGGTAAAGATTTAATGTAAAATCAGTTTTTCAGTTTAGGTTGTTGAGGTCCTACGAATGTACGAGTGGAAATGGAAATATAAATAACTAAAAATAATTCAGGGATATTCAATTGCATAGAATCAAGCTTCTATATACAAATCTATATATAGATATTGTTTTGACTTGATGTTTTGTTAACTGCTGTTTTAACGCCGCAGTGCGCGAAGCGAAAGTCTAGTTTATCTATATAGTCTAGTTTAGACTATATAGATATTATATCTATGTATAGATTTGTATCTAGAAGCTGAATTCATTCTGAGATGCAATTATATCTACGAAATCGATTGTAAAATTTAAATATGGGGCTCACAAATACGAAGCTGCAAAAACTACGAAATATGATAGAAAGATAAAAAATCGGTGCAATATGAATGAAATTGGCTGCAACCTTCACGACCCCTGGAAGATTGGCCTGTTTCTAATGCTGAATGTTTTTGCCAGTTTTATAGCTAGTATCTGACTTCAGTAACTCGAAGCACGTTTAAATTGAAATTTATTTTTGTTTTAAGGTGTTTTGTTTGACTTCATATCTTTCATGTAACATGAAATTAGGCAAGATGTTGCGGTTCTCCCTCATTTCTGATTCGTTGTGCTGACCTGAAAAAAGTCGGTTTGAATTTAGCTGTGATTAATCTAGCATGTACCCCTAATTGCACTTTCCTCGGTAAAATTTGATCGATGTGCGAATCGTGTGTAATAAAGCGTGGAACATTTGATACTAGTAGGGAAGATCGGACCAAATTTGAGAAGCATCAGCCAGAGTGCATGTCAGACCGAGAGCGTTAGCCGATCACTTACATGCTTCTTTCGTTGGCCGCTCGTCTATCTTCGTCTACCCACTTCTTCTGCTCTTCAGCGCTGCCAAGCTTGGATAAGGCAAGGTCGCGAAAATTCGGCAGTATCAACATTCTCATCGCACTACGAGTAGCAGGAAGATCTGGCATCTCTATCCATTGCTTTCCGTCAAATCTGTCAAATAAAAGCTGGATTAGGCAATACTGGATCATGTCATGCATATAAAATTGGCTTCAAAGAAATCGAAAGGGTACAGAACTAGTAAGAGTTGATCCTAATGTCCTTACAATGCATAGATGATTCAAATGGGACTGCCCTCTACTAACAGTAGAGTGTGTCTCTCAGGAATTAAATCAGATAGCATTTGCCATGAAATTTGTTACATAACTCGAAGATGAGCAAAGATGGGGTTGCTCGACGAACGCTACAAAACGCTACGCTTGTTGTGATAGGTCCATCTTTTCTGATATCAACCTTGCACATCATACAATATGGAGAACGCCCGTTGCGCGTGTCCGTCGAAAGAGGTCACCCCATCCACTTCGCGCGCGGCGCATCACACTGAGGTCTCGAAATGACATTACAGTACCACCAAGTGTCATTGGAGCAAATGATTTGCATTTGTCTGTGTTATCTTCTTCTTGTACTGGACCAAACGCAAAGCGTATGCCTCAGTGACAATTGTGACGTCTGTCAAATATCGCGGGCCGACTCGCCGCGTGCGACGGCTGCGGCGTGACCTAGTTTCGACGAACACGCGCAACGAAGCGCACCCATACAATATACATATAGGGTGCGCCATAAATATGGTAACAAAAGGATTGAGCTGCAAAACCCTTGTTCATATTGATACATGGTGAATTTATGTGAATTATTTACTACCAGTCGGATCGCCCGGCTGACGCCAGGCTCTCCTCCTTCTTACGGGTTCGCCCGGCTACGCCGGGCGTTCCTCCTTCCTGTGAGAAATTTGCTATGCGTAAATAATAATTCGGATTCTCCTTTTTCTTAGAAAGCTCTACACCCTAAGAATCAGCTCCGAATTGGGAGCCATTTTTCCTGTAAGCCATCTTCGCTGTGTCCGAATAGAACATCGTATAATATCACAAAGGCTATTATTCAGAGAAAGATAGTATTCAGAGACTTCACCGCGGCTGAGGCTACTACGTTAGCTACCGATTATTTCGCTGTTTCGCTGAGCGAGAGTATAGACTATCAAATGCCTTAAAAGATGTACCTCCTTTTCTTTACGGATACATCATTAATTGTGAATCCAACATTATTAGCGGTCGGATAACTTTTGCTAAAAATGATATCAAAGCAAAGAGAAACCGTGATCTTTCCCTTAATCGCAAGCTTTGTTGGGTAGCGATCGTCATCTGATAGCAAGAAGTGAACCAAATTCATCTCCTTATAATCACTCCACTTACCCTTCTTGTCGAATGAAACATATCGAAAAGTCAAAGCTAGATTGTAAATAGCAAAGGCGCTAGGAGGTGATTGGTCAGTGGATCTTCTTCTCTAAGGCCTCTTCTATTGTCAGTGTTTCCATACTGCCTCCTCCTACTGATTTTGCTCTCCAGTCCACGGGATCAGGAGTTATGGATTTCCACTCATTTATCTCGCGGTAACCCGTCCCTAGCGGGCGGAGTCCGGCCCTACTACTCATCATAAATGCTCCCATACTGCCGCCTGCCTCCTATCAAGTTCGAACGCCCTAGAACCAAACTGAAAATTTTGGCGTAACCTAGCCTTCTATGAGCGGGGTCCGTTCCTCCCACTTACGATAAATGTTCCGATCCTGCCGCCCGTGCTCCTATTAAGTTTGAACGCTCCAGGTCCACGGGGACAGGAGTCATGAATTTCCGGTCAGGCACACACACCGACACACACACCGACACACCAACAGACACACTTCGCGAATTATATAAAACAGTCGGATCGCCCAGCTAACGCCGGGCTCTCNTGACCCGACTTATGCAGGTGCTTCCTAAGGTATTATCGAATTTCTGCACATTGAACGAACGACAAACAATCAGCTGTCGTATAGATTTCGCCTAAGTTCCAATTCTGGAAAACCTCTTTCTAGCTGCTGAAGTATTGTGATGTGGATAGTTCTTTGAAGTGCGCATCTGTGAGCAAAATCCTATTTAGAATTAGAGATTCCGTTAATGAGATTTCTATGGATTTCCGGTTATGTTTCTACAGAAAAATACGCGTCTAGTCTGGAAAAAAGGTTAAATGCAGGGTACTTTCTGTAAAAATTATTCGTTAGCAGAAAGTTTTTTTGCCCAATAAGCCTAACCTCTCTCCTCCCTCAGTTGGCTGCGTACCGATAGTTGAATCGTCCATAGTATAGGGATTTAGCATGACAGTGAATAGTCAGGAGAACGCTTTTTACGGCCGCTCCCACTGAAGTTTGTAACTCAATGAAGGATCACGATTCTTCTCCCAGCAATGTTTGTAACTTAGTGAAGGAACATGGCTCCTCTTCGCTTCGATATCACTTTTGGCAAGACTTATCCGACCGCTAATGACCTTAGATTCTCATCTAATGAAATATATGTATCCGCTTCATTGATAACGCATTTAATCATTTGCCTACGTGACTTTTGGAAGGACGCACAAACGGGCATACAAACGGACACACAAAGTTAGCGGTTTATATATATCATGGATTGCATCACATTCTACAAAATGAACACAGCCATATTAAATAACCGTCTCCTGTACTAATTATAGCTCAAAGGTGCTTCGGATACTCATCGACGGCGGCACGCAAAGTTTCTTGAGATAGTCCAGCTTGAAATTTTTTTCAATGGTTCCTTATAAAAAGCAACAGTGGTGCGTTATGAAGCGCATGCTTCCCTCTCCAGTCTGAACTATATCCAGCAACCCATCACATTGTGCTCCAGGAAATTCGTAGGATGGTTGGTAGCTGGGATGAAGTCGCGAACACTCCCTCAGCACCAGTCCTACCTTTTCCCATTCGTGAGCAGGTGCGCTGTAATTTTCAAATCGTATCCCTAAAACAATCTCCGCCCCTCAATTGTATCCCTTCAGAGGGACCCTTCCTAAGAGTTTTGGATTAAATTTTGCACTTTTTTTGATCAAAATTTGCGATGTGGCTCTGATGGTAGAGTTTCTAGCAAAAACTATCGTCAAAGAGGGAGAATTGCTATGAGAGACCATCTGGCTCTTCTCAGCGGCTTCAGCACTCAAAGTGTGAAATATAGGTATACATTGGGTTTTCAACATTTCTTCCACGCAGAACACCAGTGACACAGGGAAAGAATAGCAATAGAAAGAATAGAATTGTCATAGCGCGTGCGGCGCGCAAGTAGCGCGCGGCATTTGTTTTTTCTCTCCAACTTCTTCTCGTCAGGAAGCTCATGAGGCTTTCGAATCTTACCTGGATACAATTGCACTCACTGAGGGTAGACTCTTCTCATCGGAGTAGAACATACAAACAAATCAGCAGTCATTTTTCTCGTATTTTGGCAAGTTTTGCTCTACTCCTTTCCGGTTAATTCTATTCGGAAAAGGGGTTGTATGTTAGGCTTGCCCCGACCTTTCTACGCATCTTGATTCGAGAGGCTGTCAGTAGGGAAACTGTTGAAACGAAGAGCGATTCCGGGACGGGTCTCACCAAATATGTGCAAAGACGGAACGGCTAATGGATGTATACGAGTCTCCACTGTTTTTCGAATGCTGACGGATTGAGAGCACCAGAGTAGATGGGTAGTTTAAGGTATATCATGAACATAAGGGAAGGAGCAGATTTGGAGAAACCCTCCAAACAACGAGGGACGTCCGAAAAGTTGTTACCATATTTATGGCGCACCCTGTATAGCGCACTACATAAGGGTGCGCCGTGTGTGTATCGCTGGGAACCGACACCTGCTTTTGTGATTTCCAGCTATTAATTTCCAGCCAGTTTCCAATTTTAGAGGAATGCAAGCAGCTGGCGGCGGAAAGGACTAATAAGCGACTAGTTGTCACCAACATACTGAGAACTCTTACATGAGTAGGCATGCACGAACCTGGAGGAGTCTCAGCAACGGCGACGTTGAGTAGGGCCGCTCGAAAGAGGCTGCTCAAATCTGAGGCCCATTATGGCAAAACTGATGCGCCAGGATAGCAGATGGCCCACCTACCACATTCACCAGATTCAGCACCAAATAACTACATCCGCTTCAGTCATCATCAATTCGCCTGACAGATAAGAAATCCGACGACCGGAACCAATTTGAAAGTTGTTCCGGTGAGTATCTCGCCTCAAAATCCCTGGGTTTCATAAAAGCGGCATCTTAATCTGAGACAAAAACGACAGCATGTAGTCGCCAACGAAGTTAGATAAATTGGGTGGGTAGGGATTGTATTCGACAAAAGACAATTATTTTAATACCGAAATGACGCGATACTTCTTTGACAACACTGCATCTATTTCTTTAGGGCTCTCTTGTAGCACACCATGTGCTGAACTTTTTTATTCAATGCCTTCCGTTCCCAAGGTCTCCTTATCCACGGGTTTTTGACTTACTTTTCTACACCTGAGATTGTTTTAGACGCTGAGTATCCTCCGGCAACGAATAGATCGTCCTTTAGCAAACATGACGCAAAATTGGATCTGAAAGCTGAGGGCTGAAACATATGTTCATGAACTAGGTGCGAAAATGCTGATAGATATTAAAAATCTCGATATGCTTCACACTACCTGCTCGATTTCATTGATGGTCTTTCTGTCCATGATAAATGGCCGATGGTCCACGTAAACACCGTATTCACTCGATCTTGTCCATTGAATCCACCAAGTACGATTAGTGTGTATGGATTGTAGAGAACCATACAGTGACCTAGGTGGAAAGACTTTCCAAGCACCGCAGCAGCAAAAAATAGTTACCTGAACGAGGCGCAGGCATATTAGACACTTCGACCCAGGTGTTTGTAGCAGGGGTGTACACTTCCACAGAAGTCAGTACCTGTGTTTGTTGCCTCTCATGCAATAATATAACCGATGCATTCCTAGAAGAAGAATCCTGACGAGCGATGGATACCTCTGTGCCGTTGAATCCACCGGAAACGTACAGCTTGCCGCCAGCGCCGACGGCAGCAGCATCAGAGCGCATTTGAATCATGCTTCTGTAAAACACTAGCAACTTACTCATGAACAGCATCAGTTATTTATTCGATCAGGTTGGCTAAAGCACATTACTCTACTCATTAAGCGCTGACAACGTCTCATACATCATATTAAGCTTCGTTGTCCTGCCCTTACTAATGTTGCTGGCAGAGGAAAGCAAGTGTGACACCAATGATGAAGCTGTGACTGTCCCATTTTCTCTCTACATCTTAGATAATCTTAGTAATCGAAAGTTCAGTTGAAAAGACGACGAGTAGTCGATTGTTCATTTTCATAATCCACTTTCATATTCACTAGCGTTTGAAATGTGTTGCAGTTAGTAGTGAAGCAGGTTCACTATCTTTACTGTATCACCTTCGGCACTAGAATTTTTTGTCAGTCATCGCGCTGGCCTTTTAAAGGCCGCACCCACATGTAGCTTGACACTATTTTCCCCACAAAGAGCCGAACGTAGTAGCTTCTACATTTCTTCGCTCCTTCCCTAGATGTCGCTTCTCTTCGAAAGAAATAACAAAAAGAGTACATATCGCAAGGTTTTCACTTCTCAGCCAAATCTAGTACTTTTAACAAAACCGGAAAGATGGCAGGATTCGTCGGCATATAAGGTATCCATCCAAAATTAGATATCCTGTCCACTTGAGTGGGTGGGTATCAACAACTATCGGCTATTTTGCCCCGTCCATTCCTATGGCCGATACCTGCGTGAATGCGTGAACACATCTGAATCACATGTGAGAACAAGCTCACTGCATTTATCCTAGAACCACTTCGAGTAATCCACCTGGAATCATGCCTATCATTCTAGCGCTTGACCAGCCTTCATCAGTTGATATGACTTTCCACTACAGACCTCCTTCACTGGTTTCTTCTTTTCCCCAGATCTTTAGCATGTTAGTTACACGAGCCCATATAATGGATAGGGGAATCAATCACAGACTTGAATCACCGGTATTTGCTTACAGGCACGAGTTGATTTCGAAAATGAGCTTCCGTTTTTTGCTGTGCTAAGTCGATTCGCAGCTTTGTCTCCTCGCGAGCGTATCCATGCATACGTGTGAGGAGCAAGTGCGGTTTGGTATCGTGTACATAAGCTCAGCCGAATCTTGCCTTTGAGGGTTCTGGAATAATCGGAAAACGATTCGGGGCCAGCTCAATCGAGATCGTCCTCTATTAGCGCCACCGCTTTCTCGGGTCTCGCCGAGGTTCCGAAGCAGGCATTTCTTTTATAACTGGTTTATCAGGTGATTCGTCATTGCATTGATCATTGCCGTTTTGTGAGAGCGAACCCACATGCTCCAGTTGAACATTCACAGGTCATTCACAAGAATTATTGAGAGGTTTGGGATTTTTCTTCAGTCTTTCCCGGAAGATTACTAAAATACATGGGTGTTCTGGATTGTTGACGAAATTGTTCTACCTGCTCAGATTTTTTTTACTGATGGGCCTGCTTTTTCTTGGCTATTAGTGAATATTCGAATATGAACACATGAATATGGTTAACAATGTTTTCATTTCAAAATCCCGTTTTAGCCTTAATAATTCTCTGAAATGTGGATCAAGTAAGGAGTGAGATTAAGGTTCATGGCATCGAAGGATGTTATGCACCTGCCTTTAACTCGGCTTCTCACGAACAGAAGAGCCTTCAGCAAATTGACAAAGATCTCCATAAAATTATAGGAGTTTACTATACTACCAAGAACCGAGTTTTAGGGTGAATACCGTCTTTTTCTTCTAATCCTATTTTTAGCGTGACTCAATTTTCATGTTGCAGAATTTCGTCTAAATCCTACTGTCAAGGCGCGGAAGAAAAAGGCCGCAGCACTAGAAGTATTCAAAAGCTCGGTTTGACCGAAGAGTCCACAATTTTCACGGCCGAATTGATTTCTTACTTAATTTCTCATATTTTTCTTAATTTTCTTGTGTTTTTGAAGCGGATCATCATTAGCTTATTTTAATGTCATCATAAGTACACTGATACATCTTGACGTCCTCAAAGAAATTCTCCAAGTTCGCTGGCTGAGAAGGGCCGTTTTAGCAAGGTAGAGGCGGTTGTTTCTTCCTTCGAACACATGAGGGTTCACATGGGCAATCTTTTCGTTGAAGTGCGTTGATTGCCTAACTATTCCGTAAAAGATCATCGTCCGCAGAAAGTCACCTAGGCACGATGAGGAATGTGAAAGTAAAGTGGGCGCATGTTAGCATGGGTGAGGAACATGTTACGAAGTAGGATATAGGTTTATGTTACGAAATAGGATATAGGGCTATCTATACTGTATTGACTTCAATAACCATTACGGATCACTTGGTTGTTTGCACGTTATCGTGCGCAGCCTAACTGGTTTTACTATTACTTTTACTACTAATACTATGATAGATTTTACTAATTTTTTATTCTTCTGCTTATTGGGGATCATCGGACTGACCCAGAATCACTTTTATTTTCCTAGAATTATCATTGCTCTGCAAAACTCATATACATTAGCGCTCAAAAGTCTTCGGCCAAACGTTTTTACGCTTTTTCATTCGTAACTTTTTTTTAGTAGAGCAAACAGGCGAAATTTTGATATGTTTATCGACAGCATATTTCACACTATGCAAAACTTTTTGACTGCAAAGCAGTAATATTCACATAACTAGAGCAAGATGCTTGTTGCGGTAGCAGATTCCGCTAAAAGCTAAGTTATTGACGTCCGCAGTTATTCGCACCTTATATGCGTTTATATTCTATTCTGTGTTCAGCATTAGCGCTCGTACACCTCAGACATGACAGAAAGGAGAAAAACTCCAGAAAGACCATCATAAGTATTTCCAGTTGGTCTCGATTTCAAGCTCTTTAGGATATATGGAACATGATTAGATTACAGTTAAATAGTGGTCAATATTCACAATACGCCCATGCCTCACATATTGAAATTTAGAAAGACTAGATTCAGTCGGAAAGGAGTAACGACTGAGAATACGACTGAAGAAGCATTTGACCGAAGACTTTTGAGCGCTACTGTAGTAGTACGTTGCACACCGATACGGAGCTCATCTAATTGAACAGTTCTACCCAAAGACTACCATCCAGCCTGTTACACATTACACATGAATAAATATGTGAAATACGTTTCATGGTCGATGTTTTTGCATTTATTATTTTGTAGTGATGTGGAAGATGCTGCCAGAAACCGAAGAAAAGGTCTCGTACGATATTTGCAATGCAGTGGTGCCCCAGAAAACATCTACAGGCATATGGCCGACATGCACAAGTACACACAAGACGAAATAAAGAGAATGGAGGAAGAGTATAGGAAGGAGACCCAGTCGCGTGCCAAAAAACTGATGGTTTCCTGCTCTGTCTGTGACGACAGATTTGCAGACCATGAAAGTCTCGCTAACTATTGAAATGAGGAGCACTGTGTTGAGGTCCCTGATATTCCAGACTGAGGATGAGTTTGAGGTTCGAATTTACCTTATTGGATGCAACATCATCCTGAATCTAATTTCCTTAGACTTTCATGCCATAATCTGCAGATGTAATAGATCTGGATTATTTCGAGGTGTAGGCACAGCTCGTGCAGGGTTGAGCAGGAAGGACGTTTCGTATTGTTCCTGCTCCACCAATTACACTGTAAATGATGACTGCACTGTACAAATGAAGGAATATTTCGGGCACATAGGGCACGATGTCGAGCACCCTCTTCTACGCCTGACAGAAGAGTAATATTTCGATTCGAGTCTCCTACCAAAAGGTAATTTAGACTCATATAAGAACTGTCGAAACTGATATGCTGCATAGCAGAAATTCATATCATTTGGAATATATCATGCGTCGATTGAGAAGCGACTTATCAGCAAAAACTTCACGGCTTTACTTTGTTACCGAATCAGATCTTTGGAATATAATGGAAAAAATGGAATGAAACCTGGATTTCGCAGCAATAATGATTTGGTATCTCTACAAATACGAGCAGACGAGCATAATCTCGACGATGGCGTGCAATTCCTAGAGATGGCAGGAGACGCAAGCGGAAAGGGTTCACTTTAGGCGTGATTGCATAGAATGTAGTAAGCCCACTTCAAAAGTAGCTACTTGACCTTGCTATAGTTCTTTTAATTAGAGGAAGGATTTCATAGTTTCTATTAATAATAACGCCGACCCAGCTCCACTGGCTCAAACAATATTCCGGTTGCGACACCTTAGTCGACGATACTCACGGTACCACAAGATACAGTTTTTAATTGGCTATCGTAGTACCGCCGATAAACACGATAGAGGACTGCCGGCAGGTCAATTTACAGGAAGTTGAATACTAATAGTGATTAGAATTTGTAATTTTTTAACTTTTCTCCGTAGTGACACCATGGCCATTAGTGATGTGGAGAAGCTGTTCGGGCAAATCAAGTAACTTCTTCCTAGTCTCAATCCTTCTCAGATTATTACTAGTGAAGTCCCTTGCCTCATAAAAGGGTTTAAAGCTTATTTCCTGGATCAAGAGCCGTCCCACGCTACTGCAGGTGGCATATAAGCGAGACATGAGAAAGGTGAAAGAGCTGATGGAGGTAAGTTGGTCAGGGTAATTAGAGATGCAGGCACCAGTTATTTGTTTAGGTTCGCCTACGCGTTCGCATCCAGAATGACCTCCACGAATTACTGCGGATTGGGCAACTGGTGCTACTGATAAGGGCTGTTGAAGATCTCATATTTGTTATGCAATGTTTTATCGCAGTTATAAATACTATAGGATGGCTACAGCATATTTTAGGACTGAACAGGCATCAATATGCCATCGATCTGCCCTTATGCGATTACGAAGGGGGAGGGGGCAGAAAAGATAAGGAGCATAGCATGGGAAAGTGGGGAAAACGTCAGAAAAGGCGCATTTGGCTGAGAGCCACGGCCCATGTTGGTGTGAACCAGGACCTGCAGGGAACTCCATTGCCGACAATACGGGGTGTGTCCATATTCATGCCCCGATAACAGGACCGGTGTATCCTGCATTCATAGGCATGCCGC